GGGCGCTGGCGGTCCCGGGGCGAACTGGCCGTTCCCTGCCTTGAAGGTCATCACTCTCCCGGGCACGGCAGCCCCAGGGAGGGGGAGGGGGGGCAGCAGGGTGACGTCAGTGTGAGCTAAAAATAACCGGGGGTAGGTGGGGGAAGCAGACCACCTGCCCTTTGCAAACTTGACTCCCAGCAGCTGGGTGCCCCTCCAGAACGGTAGGGGGTGAGGGGCTGCTGGGGCTCCCTGGAAAGTGGAGCAGCAGCTGGGACACCCCCATCATGCTGTGACCTTCAGGCGACCTTCCCTGTGGTTAGTGTCCCTGGCCTCGGGGAGGAACCTGGGCTGCCATGGCCCCCTCTCCCTGGGGGTGGCAGTTTCTCAACCTCCCAGCGGAGAGGCAGACAGGTGGCCTCGAGGTATGCAGGGAGGGAGCACTCAGGCCCCAGGTAGCTAGGCGCCCAGCCCGACCCCCTTCACCTCTCCCTGTGCATTAAGGATGGGACCAGACCTTTCCCACAGCCCAGACTCCCATCCTCTGCCTGGCCCAGACGGTGAGGCTGATTGACAGGGCATGTGCCCACCCCAGGCTAACTCTGGGGAACTCCTCTGCCCCTGGAGGCAGGTGCAGCCTCTGGCTCAGGAAGGACACCCTGTCCTTGAGCTGGAGCAGGTGAGGCTGGTGTTGGGGGTGGGCGCCAGGGCAGATGGCCTGTCACTGCCGTTCTGGCTTCTCCAGCCTCCTGGGAGACACCTCAGGTTTTTCGCACCCAGATCCTGGTTGCCTTGGACCTATTCCTGCCCTGCCGGCACCAGAGAGCCCAGTTCCAGGTTCCCACCCTGCCCTGCACCCCCAGTCCCTCTCTGAGAAGGATACATGATCGATTCTGCCCAGACCCACCCTGACCGCATACCCTTCTCCGGGCTGGGTGGGCTCTCACTCCCATCAGGGCCTCCCTGTCCTGGACCAGTGTCATGGACACAGCAGGAGTGCAGACAAGATCATTTTATAGACAATGGAACTGTGGCCTCTGGCTGGTCTCATCCCCCTTCCTCCCGGCCCATACGGGGCCCATAGCCCCTGCCTGTGTGGTTGGAGGGTTTTTCAGGGAGTGGCTGGGGACAAGTGGAGGTCGGGCCCTGGAAGAGGAGGATTCTGAGCTGGGGCTTTTGGGGGGTCCAGAGGACTGAGCAGTGTGTCTATGACAAGGCAGTGGGGGCTGGAGAGGAGGGCCTCATTGTGTCTCCCTCCAGGCCCACGTAATGCCCAGGGGTGAGCTGTCTTGAGCCGCTGTGGTCCAGCCACCTGCCTGTCCACACACGCCCCACACAGCCAGCCAGCACCGTCATCATGGAGTCCAGAGGGAAGTCGGCCAGCAGCCCCAAGCCCGACACCAAGGTGCCCCAGGCTGGTGCTGAAGTCAGAGCACCCCCGGCTGCAGATGGGAAAGCCCCCTCAGCCAAGCCTGGGAAGAAGGAAGCCCAAGTGGAGAAGCAGGAGCCACCGGTGGCCCCCACTCCACCGCCTGCCAAGAAGACCCCCAAAGCAGACCCTGCCCTTCTCAACAACCACAGCAACCTGAAGCCATCCCCCCCAGCCCCCAGCAGCCCCAATGCAACCCCTGAGCCCAAGGGCCCTGGAGATGGGGCTGAGGAGGACCAGGCCCCCAGTGGGGGCTCAGGGGGCCGAGGTCCCTGCCCCTTCGAGAACTTGACCCCCCTGCTGCTGGCTGGGGGGGCGGCTGTGGCAGCCGCAGCCCTGATTCTTGGTGTGGTCTTCCTGGCCCGGAAAAAATGATGGCTGGTACCCAGGTTGGGGACCAGCCACTCCCTGTACAGACCTTGGGGATCTTGTGCATGCGAATTCACACACAGCTATCTATCCATACATACATAGGAAACATATATACAAGCACCCCCACAGACACACAGAGGGAGAGATGGACAGGCCCTGGGCAGTGGAAGCCAACCCCCCCTTAGCTGGCCTCCAGCTCTTCCCCCTCCCAACCTCCCGGGCAGAAGGAGCCTAGGCTCCAGGGTTACTGAGCAGCACGGGATGGAGCTGTGACATCGGGCAGAGGGCTCAGGGCCAGGGCACGGACTGGGTGGACCCTGAGTGTGCCAGCCTGTCCCAAGGGGCCCCAGTGTTCCTCTGGGTTTCCCGACAGCAGCTTCCTAATGAGCCCCCAGGGTAGGAGGGAGCCCCAAGGCCGACAGGGGTCCAGGATGGGCTCTGACCTGGGCCCAGCCGTGTGGGGACATTAAAGGGTGTAGCTGTTTCACTTTCCCCTCTTCTGCTCTTTGCTTGCAGCTGGAGGGGTGGGGTGTCTGTCTGGGTGGGCCACTGCACTGGGACTGACCTGAGGCTTCCCTGCCACCTCTGCCTGTCGCCTACGCCCTAGCTGGGTAGACAGACCATCCTGGGGGCAGCTGAGAGCCAGGCAGGGAGGGGGTGGATATCAAGGACCTGCCCTGCAGCTGTGTCTGCCTGGCTCCCAAAGATGCCCCTGGAGACGGCCCCTCCTGCCTTGCCTCACTTGGCGTCCTTTGAGTCTAACAAGCGTATAAATGCAATAACACAGGTAGAGTAGAACCACTTGGTGGGTGACTGTCACCCATGTCCACTGCCCCATTGTGCCTGCAGGGACACCATGCTGCGCGGCCCCCCTCTCTAGTGCATCTGGTCCCAGCTTGGCCCATGGTGCCATGACATTGGGCAGGCTCTGGAGGGTGGCGGTGGGCACTGTGGGAATCTGACGAGCCCTTCCCTGGCCAGCTGGCCACTGGAACCCTGGGCCTGACTGGAGGCTGAGTCTACAATAAACTATTGTCCAAAGGCTGGGCTGGTGTCCTCACCTGCACGTGGCTGGGCGAGTCGAGGGTCACATCCACACCACCCGGCTTTCCAGAGAAGGTTCTCACCAGCCCTCCCCACCACCTTCATGCTTTTTTCCATTGCTTCGATCCTGGCGGGCTCTGCTCACAGCCCCTCTGGGCCTGCCCCACCCCAGGCAGCCACAGCCAGGCCTTCCTGCTGCCCTGACCCATGACGGACACCCAGGGGCTGCTGGCCACACTGCACAGGGCGGAACGAGGACATGGGGTAGGGAAGGGGGACCTTGTTCCTCAGGCTGGCCTCTCCGGCCAGGGGTCCCCTTTTTCTACACCCCTCTTTGCAGTGAGCTCCCCATCCCTTGGGGGGCACAGAGGAAGCTGCTGGAGGTAGGGGATTTCCTCCTCTCTTCACCTCCCATCCTCAGCTCCCTGTGCCCACTCCCCCTGCCTGGTACCCCAGCTGCAGACAGGCTGTCAGGGCATGGGCTGGGGGAGCAAGGCCCACTGGGTGCCAGGAACACTGCTGTGGGGCCTTTGTCACCCTGGCCCTCTCCCCCCAGCCTTCTTTGAGAGGATGTGACTGGGGAACACATCTTTCCCTTCTGGTCCTCCCTGTACCCGCCCTCCCAGAGCGGCATACCCTGTCAGAGCACCCACATCTGAGGCCCAGATAAGTTCCTGGTGAATGTCCAAAACAGACCAGACACACTCGCCTAGGTCCACTCCATGCCCAAGCAGCAGCCTCCTCCTGACCACCACTGTGCTCACCCGCTTCTGCTACCCTGAGCCAGCTGGCCTGAGCCTGACCACAGGGGCCTGACATTGCCCACCCCCACTCGTTTCCAGCTGCCCCCCCCTCCCAGGCACCACCTGCAGTCCAGGCCCCTCTCCCATTCTCTATTCTGTGGCTGGCACTGTAAAAACAAACCAACCAACCCTTCTGACATTTTAGAATGTCACCTGGTGGGGAGCTGAGGTGGCGGAGGCTGGGCTCTGTCATCTTGTCTGGTTGGTCCTTTGGACACTGTGACATTCCACCCCCATGCTGCTTCCTTCTGTTTAAGGATTCCCTATGACGGGTGTTGAGGTTGTTTCAAATTTTTTGCAACTTTATTATTATTATTTTAATCCTAACCTGAGGATATTTTTTCCATTGCTTTTCAGAGAGTGGAAGGGGGAGAGAGAGAGAAACATCGATATGAGAGAGACACATCAATTGGTTGCCTCCCGCTTGTGTGTGACCAGGGCCACAGATTGGCGCCAGGGATTGAGCCTGCAATCGAGGTATGTGCCCTTGGCCGGAATCGAACCCAGGACCCTTCAGTCTGTGGGCCCACGCTCTAACCACTGACCCAAACTGGTTAGAGCACTACAGAGCTACTTTTAAAGTCAACAAAATTCCAGACACAAAAAGGATTCAGGGTCTAAAAAGTGCACACTATAAATACAAATCAGACTGACAGAGAAATCTGGGAAATGGGAGCTCAGGTGGGCAGCACCATCTCCAGGAACGCTGTCCAAGGGCAGCCCTGCTCCCACCAGGGCTCCAGGTGGACTCCCCGGGGACCTCCGCTCTCAGCCTTTGCGTTCCAAGCACCAGCATCTTAGGTTTCCCCGTGCCTATGTTGATGCACCACGGCACAGGTGGGCTCCACAGGACACAGGCATATACAGGGATGAAGAAGGTGCATGTGTGGGGGCCACTTTCTGTTTTCCTCTGGAGCACCCCTCCCACCCCCAGGAGTGTGCAACACCGTTGGGGACCCCACGCACGAATGCATTCTTGGTATGCCTGGGGGTTAGGGCTGGCCGATGCCTTTAGATCCCACCCTCCTCCAGATATGGACATGGGCTGGGGGTGGTTTCAGAACCCCTCTTCCTCCATGGGGCAGAGGTGGCAGGTGACTCATTACTCCTGACCCTCACCCTGACTACCAGGCCAGACCTCTCTCACTCCCGGGTCTTCAGCACCCCCCCCCCATCTCACACCTGATCCCAGGGCCGGGCAGACAGAGGCACCCCGCACCCCAGTGACCGGTGGTGGTGCACCTGGACATCCCTTGGCCCAGGTGTGCTCCGGAAAGGCGGGCATCACCGAGGAAGGGAGCAGGGGTGCCCGGGAGGCTGGAGGTCCTCCAGCACTCAGAATGCCACATGGGACCGCGCCCTCACTGGGAACCGGGGGCACCCTCAGACGCGCCGACCTGGGCAGGGGCATGTGCACGCAGGTGACAGACCAAAGGTGATGCCCACGCAGGAACGCGGGAGCCCACCCGCCGGGCACCCTGCCAGAGCCCGGGCGTCCAGGAGGGTCCCCCCGCGAGCGCAGGCACTGGGTCCCCGCGGGGACGCTGCAGGCCGGGCGGCCGCCTCCGTCCCGCTGCAGAGACGGCGGAAAGGACGCGGCTTCGCGAGCCCGGGGGAGGAGCTGGGCTCCGAGCGGCCCCCGGGAGGACCTACACCTG